CAAAGAAGAGGGAGTCAAGCTATTCTCCAAAGCACCTGAAGGCAGGACAAGAAGCAATGGGTGGAAACTAACCAAAGAAAGAAGCAACCTAGAACTAAGGAGAAACTTCCTGACAGTTAGAACAATTAACCAGTGGAACTACCTGCCTCCAGAAGCGCTGAATGCGCCAACACTGGAAGTTTTTAAGAAGAGACTGGACAGCCATTTGTCCGAAATGGTATAGGGTTTCCTGCCTGAGCAGGAGGTTGGACTAGATGACCTCCGAAGTCCCTTCCAACTTTATCATTATTATTATTATTATTGTTCCCGAATCAAAATCCGAGGAAGAGATTGGGCAGCCGTTTGTCTGGAACGCTATAGTCTTCTACTTACAGTCTCTCTTTTCTTCTTCTCATTTTTCCTTTAGGTCAGGGGTGTCCAACCTTGGCGATTTGAAGCCTTGTGGACTTTACCTCCCAGAATTCTGGGAATGGAAGCCCATAGGTCAGTGGTGGCAGACCTATGGCATGGGGGCCAGAGGCGGCACTCAGAGCCCTCTCTGTGGGCACATGTGCCGTCGCCCCAGTCCTAGGCCTTCAGCTGGGTTTTATAAAACCTTTTCGCTTTAGGCCTCCGCCGCCGTGTGCAAAAAAAAAAAAGAAGGTTCAATCAGTCAATTTCAACTTCTCGCGGGGAAAAAAAGGATCTTGCAAAGTTGGAATTAATTGATTGAACTTTTTAGTCCCAACCAGTCTGCCGTTACCACCGCAGCCATGCCCACCCTATGGGCCACGCCCAGCCAATGGGCCACACCCACCCGGCACCCGACGATGCATAAGTGGGTTTTGGGTTGCAGTTTGGGCACTCGGTCTCTAAAAGGTTTGCCATCACTGCCATAGGTCTTAAAAGTTGCCAAGCTTGGACATCTCTCTTTTAAATCAGCAGCAAATCATCCTACGTCCTTTTCTCTTTTAACACAAATAACTACACTCCTACGTGTCCTAAATTCTTTTCAATACTTATTAAGAACAATTCTTACCTTCCAGAAAGGTAGTTACCGGTATGTAGGCCCAGCTGGACATTCTCTTTATGAGGGGGGGCTGAAAACCTTTGTGGGAAAAGACTAAGGCTACCTTCTCAGATCACAAATCCATACTGAAATTAGCCATCTCAGCTTAGGACAGAAGGAAGAGGCATGTTAGAAGAGGACAGCAGGGAAGCGAAGAGAGAGAGAGGAATGCTCTTTGGGGGTCAACCTCTTCTCCAAGGCACCTGAAGAAGGCAGGACAAGAAGCAATGGATGGAAACTAATCAAGGAGAGAAGCAACCTAGAACTAAGGAGAAACTTCCTGACACTGAGAACAATTAATCAGTGGAACAACCTGCCTCCAGAAGTTGTGGGTTCTCCATCACCGGAGGTTTTCAAGAAGAGACTGGACAGCCATTTATCCAGAATTGTACAGGGTCTCCTGCCTTGACTAGAAGTCCTCCCAGGTCCAACTTTCCAACTCTTGATGGTCTGAACAGAACGTGAAGTAGATGGTTCTAGTTTTAATCCTGGAGAAACATCCCATATTCAGCAGAGAAGATGCAGCCCCTGAATTTCAGAGGACAAGGAAACGTCTCAGCTTCGTCTGGCCCAAGATCTAGGAAAGTTTTGGCCATCATCCCTGTGTTGAGAATAAAAGAATGAATGAACACGCCTTCTCCAAGGCTGAATGCTGGTCTGGAAACTGAACAACACGAGCCAGCCTTAAGATTCGGAGGAGTCCACCTTGCGAGGATATCTGTTTGTAACATTCACTTTGGAATTGCAAAAAAACCCTAGGATAGACAATAAAACACACAGTTTTGATCAGGCCAGGGGAGTCCCATGGAGCTCTGAAGCCTGTGAAATGGTTGCCCATTGTGTCTGAGATTTTCACCGAATCCGCCCTTGTTCTATGTTTATAGCTTTTAATGGCTTGGTTGTAATTGTTCTTTTGTTTTTGCAATTTAATTGTGCGAGCCTCCCGGAGTCAGGCGTGTGAGATGGGTGGTTATAGAAGTGCAACAGATAAAGCAAATAAATGCAGCTCCTTTAGTGGGCTGGGAAATTTTTTTTTCTTGCATTTACTTTTGTGTCAAGCCACACAACTGTAAGGACAGGAGCTCAGCCCCACCCTCGGTTTCTAGGGACTATAAATTGCCACTACAAGTTTCCTAGATAGTTATTGCCCAGCATTGGTGGTGAAATCTGTTCCTTTCCTGACCATCTGGAGAAGATCACCTTGGTGGGAATTAATACGTTCTGCAAATGGTGCTGGGACGGAAATGGCCAGGTTTTCTTCCTTTGTTGCTCATCCTGCTCTTCACTGTGAACATTTTGTTTGTGATGCACGTGCAACGTGAAATGCAGACCCTGAGAAGGGAACCTGGTGGACATCGAGAAGAACGAGCTTTGGATTCGGCAAGAGAGAATGACTTTGTGGGACACCTGGAAAAAATAGAGATGATGTTCCTCAATCTATGTAAGTAAGAAAAGATGCCATTTCTGCTGAGGCTTTATTATGGACAGTCCCTGGTCTGAGATGGTCTAGGGTCTCCAGCTCAAGCAGGGGTCTGGACTAGAAGACCTCCAAGGTCCCTTTCAGCTCTGTTCTATTCTAAATATTATAACCATGGTCAGGAACCTCTCGGAGCGCATTCCGATTACAGGATTTCATTGTTCTGCACACCGTGAGTTTCAAATTTTTTAAACTCTTGTCCTTTTCCTTGGGCATGTTTGATCTTTTCCAGCCTTTTCAGGAAAAATAATTTGAAAGAAAGCAAGTGAGAGAGAAACAATTTTGCCTAAATATGAGTTATATAACTAATATACAAGTTTTCCAGCAGTAAGATGGGTTGCCAATAAATTAGATAGATAGATAGATAGATAGATAGATAGATAGATAGATAGATAGATAGATAGATAGATAGATAGATAGATAGATAGGTAGGTAGGTAGGTAGGTAGGTAGGTAGGTAGGTAGGTAGGTAGAGAAGATAGAGAAGATAGATAGATAGATAGATAGATAGATAGATAGATAGATAGATAGATAGATAGATAGATAGATAGATAGATAGATAGATAGATAGATAGATGATAGACAGAGAGAGAGAGAGAGAGAGAGAAGATAGAGTAGATAGGTAGGTAGGTAGATAGAGAAAGAAAGAAAGATAGGTAGGTAGGTAGGTAGATAGATAGACAGACAGACAGACATAGAAAGAGAGAGAAGATAGAGTAGATAGGTAGGTAGGTAGGTAGGTAGATAAAGAGAAGATAGAGAAAGACAGAGAGAGAGAGAGAGAGAGAGAGAGAGAGAGAGAGAGAGAGAGAGAGAGAGAGAGGAACTAGATTAAATAGTTATCCTTTGGCTCTCCATTCCCACCGCTATTACTATTGGGCATATTGTGGGTTAAAAGAATTATTTAACAAAGTGTTATATTTCATCGCTGCAATTTTTGCAGTTTCAGTTATGAATGTGAAATCTAGCTTTGAGGTCCAGCAGTTTGGAACTGCTAACTAAATAGTGCTCCATGCCATTACCAAATGCTACCTAATGCAACTTATCAATAAATAATACCGACGATATAAATAGTGTCAGCTATTAAATTCTCTTGAATGCTGGGGGCAAAGTCGTGTCCTTCAGGAAATAACTCCTGCGAGGCAAAGTAAAACGGTTTCTTCCAGGAGTTTATGAAGCAGAGCAAGGCAAGGCAAGGCAAGGATCCTCAGAGTAGCAACTGAGAACAAAGCCCGTAGGTCCCTCACACACCCAGTAACTTCTGGGATCAATTCCCTCTTCTGATTTTACTGAACATTTTAGGATGTTTTTATAAACATAGGAAGCTAAGATGTTATAAGGGCTCTCCTGTGAAGAAGGAAGGACAGGGCGGAGGTGCGGATAGGAAAAGGGAGAGAAGAGGAGGAGAGGAGAGAGGGAGAAATGAGAAGAGGGAAGAAGAGGGGAGGGGAGTGAGAAGTAGAAGAGAGGAGAAGGGGAGAGGAAAGAAGGGGAGAGGAAGGAGGGGAGGGGAGATGAGGGGAAGGGAGAGGAAAGAGGAGAGGAGAGAGGGAGGAGAGGAGATGAGGGGAGAAGAGGGAAGAGGGAAAGGGAGGGAGAGGGAGAGGGGAGAGGAGAGGAAGGGAGGAAAGAAAGGAGGGGAGAGAGAAGAGAGGGAAGGAGACAAGGGGAAAAGAGAGGAGATGAAGGGAGGGAAGAGGGGAGATGAGAGGAAGGGATGGGAAAGAGGAGAGGAGAGATGAGGGGAGAAGAGGAGAGAGGGAAAGGGAGGGAGAGGGAGAGGGGAGGGGAGAGGATGGGAAGGAAGGAAAGAGGAGAGGAGAGAGAAGAGAGGGAGTGGAGAGAGAAGAGAGGGAAGGAGACAAGGGGAAAAGAGAGATGAAGGGAGGGAAGAGGAGATGAGAGGAAGGGATGGGAAAGAGGAAGGAAAGATGAGGGGAGAAGAAGGGAGAGGGAAAGGGAGGGAGAGAGAGGGAGAAGGGAGGAAAGGAAAGAGGAGAGGAGAAGAGAGGGAGCGGAGACAAGGGGAAAGGAGAGGAGAGGAGGGAAGAGGGGAGATGAGAGAAAGGGATGGGAAAGACGAGGAGAGATGAGGGGAGAAGAAGGGAGAGGGAAAGGGAGGGAAAGAGAGAGGGAGAGGGGAGAGGAGGGGAGGAAACGAAAGAGGAGGGGAGAGAGAAGAGAGGGAGCGGAGACAAGGGGAAAGGAGAGGAGAGGAGGGAAGAGGGGAGATGAGAGAAAGGGATGGGAAAGACGAGGAGAGATGAGGGGAGAAGAAGGGAGAGGGAAAGGGAGGGAAAGAGAGAGGGAGAGGGGAGAGGAGAGGAGGGGAGGAAAGGAAAGAGGAGGGGAGAGAGAAGAGAGGGAGCGGAGACAAGGGGAAAGGAGAGGAGGAGAGAGGAGAAGAGGGGAGAGGAGAGGGGAAGTAGGTTATATGAGATCTCTTAAGACCTTTTTGTGCCGAGTCAAGGATATTACTCAAAAATTGGAACTTCGTTCTTACCTTACAGCTTCGAAGAGCCATTGGGAATGCTTTGCCTCCCGATTTTAAAAAAGTTGTTCTCGCGTTTTAAATTTTTAAATTACTTCTCGACTATGCAAACAAGTCTTATTCCTCCTGCAGAGCTCCAGGCGATATTTAAACAATGGTTATAACCGCTCTGAGATGTTTTGGATTGGTTTTTCACTTTTTTTTTTTTATTATTATTATTATTATTATTATTATTATTATTATTATTATTATTATTATTATTATTATTATTATTATTATCGGATCAGCAACCAGTTTGCATTTTTTGCATCTGCCTCTGTCACTGGTTCGATAGCCGCCTACATAAAGTATTGCGTATAGTTGTTAACGGTTACTAAATGAATTGTGAACATTCAGAACGGCAAATCATTCGTGATACTTTCTAATTTATTTAACTTTTAGGTTCCAAGAGTCCAGATAAGTTAGCAAACCAAGTTTACTATCTCTGGATGTTTCCATAAACACCCAGGTACAGTATTTGGTCCACGAAATGACATTAAAATGATGTACACCAGTGTTTACCTGCAGAGGTAGAGGAAACACCGATGGACAGTATTTCTTACGTGTCATTTCTGCTTCTTCGGTGACATTTTTGCTTGATGACCTTTCGCCAGAGTTTGAGGGTCAACCTTTCAACCTTCAAAGATGAAGATCTATCTTCCACCTCCAAGCCATCCCCCCCCCCCCCGTTGTGAATCACAGCAAAACCTGATTCAACCACACACAAAGGCTGGGAAAGCAAGAAGCATTTATGGAATTTGCCTCCACAATTATGAATAGGTAGAAAACTCCATTGTTCAGCGTTCGGAGTCGAAAGTACCCACCTGGATCAAAATTAACTTGTCGTTCATCGTCCCGATCCCTTTGTAGTATTTCTGCCTCCTTCTAATCATGATTTCTGACTCCATCGTGGTTGACTGCACTGCAGGGGTCCTCTTTGACCATGGTGTTGCCTCCAGTGTTGGCCTGAACATAGAAGAATAAGGTTGGGAGGGACCTTGGGGGTCTTCTAGTCCTACCCCCTGCTAGAGTTAGAGTTAGGGCTCCTATAAAGATGGGGGGGGTCAAACTATTCTCCAAAGCGCCTGAAGGCAGGACAAGAAGCAACAGATGGAAACTAACCAAGGAGAGAAGCAACCTGGAATTAAGGAGGAATTTCCTAACAGTGAGAGCAATCAACCAATGGAACAACCTGCCTTCAGAAGTTGTGGGTGCTCCAACACTGGTGGTTTTTAAGAAGACACTGGACAATCCTTTGTCTGAATTGGTGTAGAGTCCCCTGCTTGAGCAGGGGGTTGGACTAGAAGATCTGATAGCAATATCTCAGGGGTTGCCCCAAAGAAGAGAGAGTCAAGCTATTCTCCAAAGCACCTGGAGGCAGGACAAGAAGCAACTCCTTTGTAAGGCCACAGTTGGACTACAACGTCCAGTTTTGGTCACCACGATGGAAAAAAGATGTTGAGACTCTTTGGAATGTGCAGAGAAGAGCAACAAGGATGATCAGGGAACTGGAAGCTAAAACATATAAGAAACAGTTGCAGGAATTAGGAATGTCTAGTTTAATGAAGAGAAGGACAAGGGGGCTCATGATAGCAGCCTTCCAGTATCTCAGGGGCTGCCCCAAAGAAGAGGGAGTCAAGCTATTCTCCAAAGCCCCTGAAGGCAGGACAAGAAGCAACGGATGGAAACCAACCAAGGAGAGAAGCAACCTAGAACTAAGGAGAAACTTCCTGACAGTGAGAACAATTAACCAGATTGGAACAACCTGCCTCCAGAGGTTGTGAAAGCTCCAACACTGGAAGTTTTTAAGAAGAGATTGGACAGCCATTTGTCTGAAATGGTATAGGGTTTCCTGTCTGAGCAGGGGGATGGACTCGATGACCTCCAAGGTCCCTTCCAACTCTATTATTGTTGTTGTTGTTGTTACCTCAGGGATCCCTTCCAGCCTTACGTTCTATATTCTAAGTTATTCTTTCTGACGTTTGGGCGCTTTTATCCCTCAGCCTCTTGCCCTTTTTGTGTTTTTCAGCAAACTGTATAAAACAATCAGATGAAAAAAAGAAGGCAGCGGAGGAACTGAAATTGCCCGAGAAGCCACACCGGGAAATACAGGAAGACGAACAAGGCAAGGAAAACCAGAGAGAACCCAAAGCGCCTCCCAGGGTACACTTCCCAGATTCCCCTCTGTTCCAGAGATGGGGCAAAGATTTAATGGAGGACCAGCAAATTGTGGCCCAGCAACTCTTTGATAAGTACGGGTACAACGTTTACTTGAGCGACCGCTTGCCTCTGGAAAGGCCTTTGAAAGACACCAGACCCCCCAGGTGAATTTGTGTTTAATAATAATAATAATAATAAAGTTGGAAGGGACCTTGGAAGTCATCTAGTCTAACCCCCTGCTCAGGCAGGAAACCCTATACCATTTCAGACAAATGGCTGTCCAGTCTCTTCTTAAAGACTTCCAGTGTTGGCGCATTCACCGCTTCTGGAGGCAGATAGTTCCACTGGTTGATTGTTCTCACTGTCAGGAAGTTTCTCCTTAGTTCTAATTTCTATCCGTTGCTTTTCTCCGTCTTTGGCTTAGCAAAGGGCGGGCAAGGCTGGCAACGTGGGCAGTGATGGTGGCCGTGGCGATGTAGAACCCAACAGGCTGGCACAGAGGGCAGATTAGAAAGTCGGAAGCATGCTGAACGCAGGAAGTCCTCGACTTACAACGGTTTCATTTAGTGGCCATTCAAAGTGACATCACTGAAAAAAAAGGGGGGGACTTGGGACCGTTGTTCACACTTATGACCCTTGGTCGTGCGATCCCAAATCCAGACGCTTGGCAACTGACTCCTATTTATGATGGCCGCAGTGTCCCGGGCACACGTGATAGCGCAGTGATAGCGAACCTTTTAGAGACCGAGTGCCCCAAAACCGCCCCCCTACTCGTCTCCACTCCGCCGTGCCCGCTGGGCCACCCACCACCTCCACAGCCCACCACAGATCACCCAGGCAGGCCAGCAGCGCCATGGCGGCTACGCCCTCCGCCGGTGCCCCGCAGCATCATCTGCGCGTGACGGGGCACAAGGGCGGAGTCTTGTCCCCGCTGCCCGACTACCATGTCCTTGGCTGCACTGCTTCACATGGGCCATGCCTGGGGGCAACTCTCCTCCGGGGGGCTGCTGGTGAGGAGGGGGCTGTGGGAGGAGGCAGGGCTGGGGCGACAGTGCGTTGCCCACAGAGAGGGCGCCGAGTGCCGCCTCTGGCACGCGTGCCATAAGTTCGCCACCACGGTGATAGGGCTTCCGGCCGAAGAAGGGGGTTGGTCTAGAAGACCTCCCAGGTCCCTTCCAGCTCTGTTGTTCTGTCCTGTGCTTCTGACTTTCCGGCAAGTCGACGGGGGAAGCCAGCTTCACTTAATAATTGTGTGACCAGCTTCACAACTGCGGTGGTTCACTTTCCAGATTCGAGGTTGTCAAAGGGGGCAAAATTCACTTATCAGCTGTCTCGCTTAGGAGCAGAAATGTTGAGCTCCGTTGGGGTCCTAAGTTGAGAATTAATTTGTCTAACAAAACTGGGATATATTCTAAAAAAGGGACAGGACCGGTGTGCATCTCCTTTTTTCTGCAAAAACACCAATCTCCTTAATGACGTTTGAGCAGCTTCCTTTTCACTTTAATTCTTGATTTCTGTGCACTGGGTATTCTTAAAAGCAGAAGTTCATTCAGCTAGTCCTCAACTTTATCCCAACGGAGCCCGGAGTTTCTCGATGGATAATCGAGACACTTAAGTGAGCTTTGCCCCATTTTACGACCTTTCTTGCCACAGTTGTTAAGTGAATCACTGCAGGGGTTAAGTTAGTAGCACGCTTGTTAAGTCAATCTGGCTTCTCCATATGGCTTTGCTTGGCAGAAGGTCCCAAAAGGGAATCACATGAGACACACACACACACACACACACACACACAGAGGATACGGCAGCCATCATTCGTACACACCAGTTGCCAAGCGTCTGAATTTTGATCAAGGTCCCTTCCAGCTCTGTTATTCTGTTATTCTGCCCCTGGCAATTCTTCGCTCGCGTTGCGCCACAATAATCTAATGAATATCTGTTTTTCTGGGTTTCTTCCAGATGTCGCGAGAAGAAATATTCGCGTGATCTCCCAACCCTTAGTGTCATTCTTATATTCTTTAATGAGGCCACCTCCATCCTCTTGCGTGCAATCACCAGCATAATTAACCGAACACCGTCTCACCTCCTGAAGGAAATTATCCTTATTGATGATTGCAGTTCAAACGGTAAGTGGCACGGTCTGAAACGTTTCCATGGGCAAACTACTTTTTCATGAAATTCTACGGAAAACTGGACTGCAGATAATCCTTGACTTACAACAGTTCATTTAGTGACTGTTTGAAGTTACAACAGCATTGAAAGAAGTGACTTAGGATGCTTTTTCACACTTACAGCCATTGCAGCTACGTGATCAAAATTCGGACACTTAGCGACTGACTCATATTTATGACGGTTGCAGTGTCCCGGGGGATCACATGATTCCGCTTTTGCGGCCTTCTGACAAGTCAGATTCACTTAATAATTGTGTAACAGTGTAACAGTGATTCACTTAATAACTGTGGCAAGAAAAGTCTTAAAATGGGGCAAACACACTTAACAAACGTCTCACTTAGCAACATAAATTTGGGGCTCCATTGTGGTCGTAAGTCAAGGACCACCTGTATATAGAAACATAGAAATTCCAGATTGTTTACTGAATAAAGTGTACTACCGTACTGTTAAGGAATTGCAACAAACCAACACACCCTCTTTCCACTGTGATGTATTAGAAAGTCTGTATATAGTCCTGCAGAACAGACAGTGCACTGTCCCCATGTGCTTTTCTGCTTACTGCAACAAGGAAACAGGAAACGTTATTCAGAGAAAAGGCATAGAGTTGCACCATAGATGCAACTACCAACTTATAAACGCTGCCATCTACTGGTTGAATACTGCTGTAGCTGTTGTACAGAATACATGGGACGCTGCATTACAACAAGATCTCTCTGCACATGCCTTAAATTATGTTTCCAAGACATTATTTTTTCCAACTGCTGGGCAGCTATTCTCAGTTGCTGCATACATAGGTTTGGAGAACCAGATTCTGTAAAATCATCCCAACTCGAAATGTTTTGAGTCTGAAGATATCATTTCACACGGGTTAAACTCAGAACAAAGCACTCTGAAACACAGAGTCTCATTGTGAGCACGGGCAAAAAGAGGTATTACATTCTTTTTTTGTTGTGAATCATGGTGGTCTCTGAGGTTGCTTATTTCCTTGCAGATGTTTCGTTACCCAACTGGGTAATAACACCAGTGTGAGTGAGTGTGGCATTTGCTCCCCTTTTTTATACAATAGCATGCCCTGCTAGCTACGATAGGAAGGAAGAAGAAATGGCAAACTGAAGACAACTCTGCAAAAAGCAGAGCCAACAACGGTGACAAAGAACAACCAGTCAGCGAGTAGACCAGCTCTTCCAATCTCTCTGGAGTTCCAAAGGTGCTTTTTCAAGAGGCCACTGGACTTTCTAACATTTTTTTTCCTTGAAGACATTTCACTTCTCATCGAAGAAGCTTCCTCAGTTCCAACTGGATAGTGGAGGATGGAAGGATTTATATTCCTTGCAGTCATCTGGTCGTTGGTACTCTCTCTGAGAGTCGTTGAGGCCACTTGGAGGTTTACCTGTGTCCTCGGGATCACTTGAGTAGCGCGAATGATTGTGGGGTCTTCTTGGAACTGCTGAAAGGACCGTGTTGTCGACTGGAGCTAGGTGGTGTCATATCCCCCTCCAGACCCCCCGTTGAGAGAAGGCTGTTAATTTTAAAGTAGATGGCTTCTTTCAGCCTTCTTTTCCTCCTTCACCGAACACACCAACTCTGTGGACAGATACATTAAGTTCACACAGGAAGACGTTTAGGAAAATAGAAAAAAAAAGAGATAAAAGAGAAGCAATTTTAAAAAGTGGACACTAGAGGGTACTAAAAACTTTAACTAAAGGAGTTTAATATATAAACCTGATTTCTCTCTCTCTCTCTCTCTCTCTCTCTCTCTCTCTCTCTCTCTCTCTCTCTCTCNCACACACACACACACACACACACACACACTAACCAAGTATCTCTCAAATAGCAAAGAGAGAATGAAAATTTTACCTGGGTAACCAAATTTGAATTTTCGCCCGTGTTCCGGCATAAACATCTCAACTTAATGCTGTTAACATCTGTTACGGTTTTTTTTCCCCCACAGAGGAACTTAAAGGCCCTTTGGAGGAGCATGTGAAAAAGTTCAACGCCCAACATCCTGGACTGCTGAAAATTGTGAGACATCAAGAAAGGATGGGGCTCACGGAAGCCCGGATTTCTGGCTGGAAAGCATCTCGTGCGGATGTGGTGGCTATCCTGGACGCGCATATTGAAGTCAACACGGAATGGTAAGCCTAGAACGTCAGCCGTCTCCAGAGAGGAACTCAACAGGTCCATTTCCATTCATTGTCTTGATAGCTTAATAATAATAATAATAATAAAGTTGGAAGGGACCTTGGAGGTCATCTAGTCCAACCCCCTGGTCAGGCAGGAAACCCTATACCATTTCAGACAAATGGCTGTCCAGTCTCTTCTTAAAAACTTCCAGTGTTGGAGCACCCACAACTTCTGGAGGCAGGTTGTTCCACTGGTTAATTGTTCTCACTGTCAGGAAGTTTCTCCTTAGTTCCAGGTTGCTTCTCTCTTTGATGAGTTTCCATCCGTTGCTTCTTGTCCTGCCTTCAGGCGCTTTGGAGAATAGCTTGACTCCCTCTTCTTTGGGGCAGCCTCTGAGATATTGGAACACGGCTATCATGTCCCCCCTCGTCCTTCTCTTCATTAAATGAGACATCCCCAATTCCAGCAACCGTTCCTTGTATGCTTTAGCCTCCAGTCCCCTAATCATCTTTGTTGCTCTTCTCTGCACTCTTTCTAGAGTCTCAACATCTTTTTTACATCGTGGTGACCAAAACCGGATACCGTATTCCAAGTGTGGCCTTACCAAGGCATTGTAAAGTGGTATTAACACTTCACGTGATCTTGATTCCATCCCTCTGTTAATGCAGCCCAGCACTGTGTTGGCTTTTTTGGCAGCTGCAGCACACGGCTGGCTCCTATTTAAGAGATTGTCCACTTAGATTGGCTTGGTAGATTTTAAAAGTCCTACGTAGTTCCATGAACTCTTTTCTGCTTTCATGAAGGGCTGAACCAATTCTCTCGCGCATCAAGGAGGACCACACCGTTATCATATCACCGGTGTTTGACAACATCCGTTTTGATGATTTCCAACTTACTCAGTATGCGGAGGCTGCCGATGGGTTTGACTGGGCTCTTTGGTGTCTCTACGAGGCCATACCAAAAGACTGGTATGCCCTCAAAGACCCAACTGCACCAATCCGGTAAGTTATCCTGATACGTGTTGAAGCTTGACTCACCTCAACTTTCCTGGAATGAAAATAACCAGAAGTTTTTAATTGATGTTACTTCTTACTAGACATGAAGCTACAAGCTGGCGAAATGAAAATATTAGCTGGGCAATGCTAGAAGCTCCTGCCCAGCTAGCGGTTTGAAAGCATGCAAATGCGAGTAGATAAATAGGCGCCACCTCATAGGGAAGATAACAGTTGGCCACATATGACCACAGAAGTGTCTTCAGACACTGTTGGTTCCAGTGGTGGCATTCAAATAGGTGAACAACCGGTTCTCTCTGTGGATACCGTTTCCGGAAGTCCGTTCTGGGCCTGGGCAACCAAAAATTAGCTACCGGTTCTGCCGATGTGGTGCGAACTGGCTGAATCCCACCACTGTATGTATGTATGTAT